TGTAGCCCTGGCTGTTCTGGAACTCAGAATGTAAACAAGGCTGGCTTCAAACTCACAGAGATCCACCTGCCTCAACCTTCCAGATGGTGGAATTAAAAGGCATGCAACACCACACCCACAGGTCATCTAACTTTGAGATTCTGCTAAGCCATGGTGGTATACCCAGACCCCCCTCCCTCAGAGGGGATGGTACGTGAGCCCCGACTGCATGACTAACTGAAGCTGACACTGCTGACACAATGCTCATCCGTGACCACAGTCGCACTGGCAAGACCCTGCCCTGTGCTGTGGCCAGCAGCTTCCTCTCCTGCTACTGGAGGCAGCCACAGGTTTCCTGGGACTTGAGAGGTCAGGTCTCCATGAACTGTTCAGTGCTATGGGAGACAGCAAAGGAAGCAGGTGTTGGCAGTGGGCCTTTCTTCATAGTTATTTAATCATAACTATTCCTGGGAGTTGGGAACAGTGGATTCTTATTTTCAGTCCCCAATGTGCAAAACAAAGTCTAGCGAGGCCCCAAATGAAGCTGGTAAGTGGCAATGTAGTTCTGGTGTGAGAGCCTCAGGCCACACAACCAGGGCTCCCTCAGCTCCCTCTGCTTCCAGCACACAGCCCCAGGAGAGAGGGTTCCTTCTGCCTCAGCCTTAATCTCAAGGGAGAAGGACTGGTGTCCGTTCTACAGAATAAATTCGTGAGAACAAATTCAACAATGTGCCAGATGCCAACAGCCTCAGGACACAAAACCACAGGAGCCCTAGAAGTTTTAGTTTAGCTAGCAACAGGTGATGTGACCACCAAATGAACTGACAAAAGTAAATACACTTTTACGTGCATTGGTGTTTTGCCTGCATGTGTGTTTGTGCACCACATGAATAGCTGGTGTCCTCAGAGGCCAGAAGAGGTGGTCAGATACCTCAGGAACTGAAGTAACAGATGGTTGGGAGCTACCATGTGGTTTCTGGAAATCGAACCTGAGTCCTTTGAAAAAAAGTCAGCCAGTGCTCTTAACTACTGAGTCATCTCTCCAGCCCCACAAAAGTAGATCTAAAGTGAGGAAGGTGAGACCCATCTCACATGAGACCACGCTTGGACTGGCCAGTGCTCAGAGGGACTGGTTCAGAGAATTGAAGATAACAATGGTCCTGAAGCCAGCGTGAGCCCACTGCTTACATTCTTTCCTGTTAACCAAACCCCAGGTCTGCAGCACTAGCACCAATATGTCTAGGAGAGGCTGGCTCCTCTCTCAGGTCTGCAGCACCAGCACCAGTATGACTAGGAGAGGCTGGCTCTTCTCTCAGGTCAAAGAGGCAAAGCTTAATGGTACCTCCCTTGTCCCTCACCATGGTATGTTTAGGGTGAGACTTTGGACACAGTTTTGACAATTGGATGTAAGGAGAAATCTGCTCTGCGGTACTGGGAAGATGGCCCCGGACAAGTCTTCCTTCTGCTTCTGAATGCTACCTTAGGAGTTGGTAGCACTGTTCTAAATAAGCCTGAATGCAGGAACACAAGCCACCATGACTGGGACGGCAAAGGGAAAGCTAACTGAATGTGGGTCCTCATGGTATGGGGCCATGGCTCTTTGTCATCTCCGATCATAATTCCATTCTTTGGTGTGTTGTTTTTTTGCTTTGTTTTTTGAGACAGGGTTTCTCTGTACCTTTGGAGCCTGTCATGAAACTCACTCTGTAGACCAGCCTGGCCTCAAACTCACAGAAATCTGCTTGCCTCTGCCTTCCGAGTGCTGGGATTAAAGGTGTGTGCCACCACTGCCTGGCCATAATTCCATTCCTAATTGATCTGTTTGAATTTGATTTTCATTACTTAGAACCCAAAGCTACCATTAATAGATGAACTCTGTTTATGAAGAACAACTAAAGAGCTGAAATGGCGGGCCAGGGAAGAAGGCCCTGGAAGGGCAGGAACAGGTCGCAGACACCCAGAGGCCTGTTCTCCAGGAGAGAGGGAGTCGGCTTTCTTCTTGTCCAAGATCAGAGATCCAGGAAGCAAATCTCAGAGTGGGAATTCCGGACCTCAAAGCTGATTAGAAAGCCAGTGTAGTCTGGGGAGATGCTGAGCACCGCCCTGTTCTCAGATGGTCAGCAGTCTTGTGCTGAGAATCACCTAGGGAGACCAGCTGTGGGCACACACTTCAGAAAGACCACCTGTGGCTTCTCCCTTCTTCCCTCGGGAGGGGGGGGCAGAGCTAGAGCAACAGCGTGAAGACAGGAAAGCCGCAGCCTCCCTCTTGCAGTACAGGCCAGCGGAAGA